ATACAAAGTACAAACAACTTTATCTATACGTATTTTACTGGAAAATGAACTGAACATCCCTTTAGTATTTTACTAAATGGTGTTCGTTAGACATTCATTAATCAAGTTAGTTAATAACAACCGTTAGTGTTATTTTCATGTAATATTGAAGAATCATTAATGTGTCTACACCATGAAAATAGCTAATATTGAATTGGAAAACTATTGGTTCTAGTGATCATCCTCCTTTTCAAAATACTTATTATCAAAATAAATGATGTTCGTTTGAAAAGCTTTTTCTTACCGATATCAACATTAAAATTAGGAACTTTAAGTTAGCTCATGTAGTCTAGATTTGAGTAATTTAATTCTTAGTCGTTTAGCTTGATGATGTGTTTATCACTAATTTCTCTCTTTGTTATTTGTTTTCCGGTTCGTTTTAATAAAAAAAATTTAATTAAAAGGAGACCAGAAAACAATGTTTTATCTAGTTTGTGATCATAAGCGGATTTGTGCTTATACTATCATCTCTGCGTGTTCGACCCATATGCTAGCTACTACATCGTATGTTTACGTCCCTTTGTTTTATTCTGAACTGAACTATGTTGATTGATTTCAATAATACAAGAGCTTCGTTTATCAGTTTCTCATATCGTTCAGGTGTGATAATTATTGGGTTAAGAATAAGAATGATAGAGGTTTCAGATTATACATATAAACTTTTCTTACTACTTCATTAACACCACAATGTTCAGTACATATATATATATACACACACACACACACAAAAACACATGTTGAACCGTTGTGACTCTTCAAAGTCAATGGTTATGTAACTGCCATTTAAAACAAGCTTCAAAGTAAGGGTTATGGTTCATCTTTTTCATACAATTTAGTTTTATAAACCCATTTCACTCCTATGGGTTTATGCCCCTTAGGAAGATCGACCAAGTCCCATGTATCATTCTTCATGATCAATTTTATCTCGTCATCCATTGCATCTCTCCACTTCTTTTCTTTACAAACTTCTTCAAAATATACAGGATCTGCATCAGCAAATAACACAAAGTCTACCGTACTATCAAAGTCCAATCTTTGAATGGTCTCTAATAAAGCTCTCATGCCTCTCGTTTTTGTTGGTGGTGTCTAAGAGGATGAGGATAAATTTGATCCTTATGGAGTTGAACTTGAAAAGGAAATAATATTAGCAGTTGAGATATCAGGCTCTTCATTGTGATCATTATCATGAACAACTTCTTCCTCAATAATGGGAATAATATCATTATCGTTAAAGTTTGATCCTTCCAGGTCTTATCCTCATCGAAGATCACATCCGTGCTGATGATTACTTTACAGGTTTGTGGGTTGTAGAGTTTATAAGCCTTGGCGTGTCCACTATATCCTATAAATATGGTTTTCTCTGATTTTTCATCCAGTTTGCCTCTTCTTTGATCAGGGATATGAGAGTAGGCCAAATATCCAAAAAACTTGAGATGAGAAACACCGAGCTTAAACTAACTCCAAGTTTCCTGCAATTTGATGTTCGAAAGGCTTTTTCTAGACGCATGATTCAAAAGATAAGTTGCACAAGCAACCGCCTCAGCTTAGAATATGTTTGATAATTTCTTTGCTTTCAACATGCTATGTGCCATTTCAGAAGTGTTTGATTCTTTCCTTCAGCTGGGGCATGTAATGTGTGGTTAACTAGTGATGTTTTCCTTGTTCTTCTAAGAAATCTTGAAAATATAGTGCATTGTATTCCCCACCGCAATTTGATCTCAAGGTTTGATCTTTTGATCACTTTGTTTCTCAACAAGGGCTTTGAAAACTTTGAATGAACTAAAGACTTCGGATTTCTCTTTGAGAAAGTAGACCCACATTTTTCTGCTAAAATAATCTATAAAGGTGAGGAAGTACCTGCTACCACCGATGGAGACTGTCCTCATGGGACCGCATACTATACGTCAGAGTGAACGAGTTCTAACTGCTTTGATGCCCCCATAACTTATCATTAGAAAAGGATTCGCTTGCATGTTTACCCAGAGTGCAAGGCTCGCAAACGTGATCAACTTTAGTTACGCTTGGTAATCCATGAACCATGTTATGTTTGTCCATAGGAGTAACAAGTCATAATTCATGTGACCATACCATAAATGCCACAAAAGTAACTCTTTTTGACTGTTTCGTGATAAGAGAAAAAGATGTATCTTTATGAAATTTTAAAGGGAACATTTTGTTAAATGTCATGTGAACCGTTCCATGTAATTTTTTGTTCATTTCTTTGAGTTCACATGCATTATTTTTGAAGTGTACATCATATCCCTTCAAGAGCAATTGTCCCACACTTAACAAGTTGTGCTTTAAACCTGGAAGAAAGTCAACATTAGGTATCTTCTTTTCACCATATTTTGTTTTGACCAAGATCAGCCCACATCCTTGTACACCGAGACTTTTTGTCATCTCCTGTACGTACTTCCTTTTTAAGAGATTCCCCATCATTGAGAATAGATGCTTATTTTCCATCATGTGGATACTACAACCACTGGTCCAAGTACCAGGCCTCTTTTGGTGATGTCTCTTGTATACTCAACATCATAAAAATGGTGTCATTTTCTTCTTTATTGTCTTCTCTATGCATAAACTTCTTCCCCTCTCTACTGCAATCCTTTTTCTACAAAATTTTATCATGTGTCAAACTTTCGACAGTTGTAGCATTGAATCTGTGATAGGGTTTACCCCGTCCTTTGCCTTTGTATGTAGTCTCAGTTTGATTGTCCTTAGTGTGTTCTTCGCTAATGTTTTCTTGATTAGTTCCTTGTAATTGAAATGCATGTTAGATGTTGATGAATCAAACTGTCTCATTGTTAATTCATGTGATCGTGAAGTTCCCAACAAATTTTCTAAGGACATGGTTGAGAGATATTTAGATTCTTTGATGGCAACCACAATATACTCGAATTTCTTTGTTAGACCACAAAGGATCTTTTCAATTACCCTTTTGTCTTCAATAGTTTCTCCATTTAATAGAGGAATCACACGATTGTAGTATTGTTCCACTAATTTCATTTCCTTCATCTTAATGTAATCGAATTCACATCTTAGCATTTGAAGTCTAACTACTTTCACCCTTACTTCCCCCCGATATGTTCTATATAACATATCCCATGTTTGTCTAGACGATGTGGAGGATGACATCCTTTTGAAAATGACTTAATCTACTGCTTGGTAGATGAAAAATAACGCTTTTGTCTTTCTTCTTGGTTTCCTTCAATTCTGTAAGTTGTTGTGATATGAAGGTTGTTTGATATTTGGGTTCATCATATCCATTCTTAACTATGCTCCAGAGATCTTGTGATTCATATAGCACTTTCGTCCGTTGTTATTGGTTGATCGGCTCTCTACTACTATGTTGGGTTAAGAATATGAATGAAAGAATTTTCAGATTATACACAAAATTTTCTCATTACTTCATTAACACACAACATTCAATACATATGATATACATTCATTTGTCTTATTTTAGTAAATAACATTAATTATCTAAAATGATTGGCTCATATTGGACCTTGCAGTTACCACAAACTATCTAGTTCTCATTTGATTAAGCCTATATATATATAGGTCTAATCAAAAGAAAACTAATTAGTTTGTGGTAACCGTGAGATCTAATCTCAACCACAAATCAATAGATAAATTAGGAAATTTATAATTTTGGTAATTTTGAATTAAAATTTTAATACAAGAACATTTTAGGTATTTTCTCTCATCTCTTCTCTCTCTGTCCCCCCGGTGGTATCACAATGCATCTTATATGTGCTTGAATATCAAACTGAGGTTGTTTGTGAGGTCGATCGAAGATGTAACACATTGGTATCACATATATGTGATTGGGTATCACAATGTGTCTTTTGTTTAACATAGTCAATATTTTTAGTTATCACAGTGGTATGAACGACAGTGGCCGGAGGACGGGGGACAGAGAGAGGAGAGAAAATACCTAAAATGTCCTTACATTAAAATTTTAATTCAAAATTACCAAAATTATAAATTTCTTAATTTATCTATTGATTTGTGGTTGAGATTGGATCTCATGGTTACCACAAATTAGTCAGTTCTCCCTTGAATGGACCCATATATATATATATATATATATATATATATATATATATATAGATTTGGGATCATGTGAGACCAATAGTTTTTCGTAAGACCCGTAAGACCAATTCTCAACCATTGGATTAGATTTACAATCGTCAGATCTAAACATTCATAAACGCCACGAGACTTTTTAATAATTACAAAATTGCCACCTTGCAATTTTAGACAATTAGATCATTAGATTACAAAGCTGATGAATGAACATAAATTGGTCTTACGGGTTTCACGAAAAACTCTTGCTCTCACGTAAACTCAATCATATATATATATATATATATATATATATATTTAAATATATTTTATAGACACACGTTGAACCGTTATGACTCTTCAAAGTCAACGGTTATTTAAGTGCCATTAATATTACTAAAGTCTGGCTTATAATTATTTATAACAATAATGTTGTTGCTACATATTTAGAAACCAATTCAGTTCTTCATCAACAAACTAGAGAGAGGGAGGGAGGGAGAATGAGAGATCTTCATATTTCATTGGGGACATGGTCTTATTCAGATCCCTCATGGTTCACTATGTTTTTTCTATGAGCAACTTGTTGACGTATAAACCAACACTATCTTTACACTTTGATTTCTACACCTGCATCTCAACTTTCGTTATGCACGTACTATATTTCATTATTGTGCAACAAATAGTTTAAGTGGAATAACTAGCTCTCTCTCTCTCTCTCTCTACTCTCCTTCTCTCTCTAGTTTTGTGGATCTTCAATGGTGAGAGTTGAGGCTTTGAGAGGGTGATGGCGTGTCAGAGGGAGGGTGAGAATAGCAAATATGGTGGTTAACGATGGCAGATAAATTTGCTGTAAATACAAGTATAGAGGTTTAAATAAAGAAATGACAGAATTCAGTTCTTCTTATTTAATCACTGCATGCTGAAATAACCATCAATAACAAAGGTTTTTTTCCTCTTGTGAGGAAATACACACAAATTTAAGACTTGAACGGCTAAATATTTTACAAGATACATAAATTTGAACATCGTTTATGACGATTAGACTTAACGGAGGACCGGGACCGGGACCGACAAAGGACCGGCCCGGGACCGGGACCGGGACCGGTTATGGGACCGAAAACCGGGACCGGTTGAGGTTTTTAGTAGTTTCGGGGGACCGTCGGTAGCTAAGCTTTATGATCTTCTTTGTTATTGCCATCAGCAGAAGCATGTATCGCCCAACCACAAGAGTCATCAACCCTATCCACACAAACACAATGATAACTGACAGAGGTCTAATTGTCTTAGCCTGATGTAGTGGTGTTGTAACCGTTATGGAAACATAATAAGTGATTGACATCGACGTGGTAGCAATCCACATGATAACTATCATAATCCCTGTGGAAACATGTCCACGATGCTTCGAGAAATGCAATCCACTAATAAGCAACAAGATGATGCTAAGAGTCGAAAGAAAACCCACCGTGTTGCTAATCAGAAAGATATGGTGTAAAACTGGATGATGCCAAACACCACTCGGAGGATTAGTACCTACTTGAAAGGCCATGGTTGCTATGAATGATGCCACAACCATCAAAGTGTCTCGCTTCTTGTACAACCAGTCTTCTCTATTCTTTTGGCTAATAGGCGGGAACAGGTTCTTATTATCTGAACTCATTTTGCTTATCCATTTTTGAGGAATTTTTTCTATCAAACCTTCTGTTTCTGGCTCAACAGCATCTGCTCGTGTTAGGGATCGTATGATTTGTCTATCTTTCACATCTTTTGGACCTTGAGCCAATATATCCATAGATGTTTCCCTATTTGTGTTTGATGCATTCACTTCTATTGTTGTATTAAGTAGCAAGAAGTTTATGGTCTAACAAATATTCAAAATAATGAATTAGTCATAATCGATAAACAAATCTTGCGAGTACGAAATAAAAAGGCAATCTTTTTCCCAAGAATTATAATACATATATATATATATAATTACATATATATATATATATATGATGGAAAAAATATTAGTATAAATACCTCAATTTGTTTGTCGGCCACAGCTAGGTGTAGTATATTATTGCCATCACCATCCTTAGAGTTTACAAACTCATGATCACCCAAACTCTCCACCAACAACTTCAAAACCTCCAGCTGGTTATGCTTCACACACAAGTGCAAGATGGTCTCCTGCTCCACCATGGCCCTAGCTGCATGTGGTTGAGCTTGCAGCAGCTCTTTCACAACTTCATAACGTCCTTTAATGGCTGCAAGATGGAGAGGGTTTCTCCCATCACTATCACGTGCAAGGCACGTCTCAGGGTAAGCCGATAACAACGCCTTAACTATTTCCACGTGCCCCTTTGCAGATGCTATATGAAGGGGCAAGCGTCTTTGTGAATCAGACTCTCCGGCAAGCTGCGGCTTTCGACTTAGGATCTCGTTGACAAAGTCGAAATGTCCAAGCATTGACGCCACGTGTACAGGCATGTTGTCACTACGGTTTACAGTAACTCTATCAAGAATCAATGGATCTTCTTGAAGCAATATTTGCAAGAGGGTTACATTTCCTTCTACCGAGGCATAAAAAAGAAGTCCCTCCACTCTCTCCATGTCTCAAATGTACAGAACACAAGAAGGTACACAGAACACAAAAAGTTTAGATTAGATGATGTTATTTTATACATGAACGCAATCTCTGCTTAGAAGATTTTTCTTAAGTTGATAGTTCCACGTGACTTTTTTTTATCCCTTCATTTGGAAAAGTGGTTATCTTTCTAGACGTCTTTATCAAAATTATTAAGACATGATGGATTATTGGAATCGGAATTGAAACTGGAACTATTATATAAAATGATCACTTTCTCGTATAGGATCCTATTCAGGTTAATAAAAAAATGATTTCTTTCAATTTGTGACAATAATTCAACAGGGTATGTTTATTTTGTCTTTTTCACAGCTTGGTATTTGTCAAATTTATACTATCATAATTTGCGGCTTTGCTGATCAAATGAAAAATAGTGGGATAGTTTCGTAACTTTTACGAATAGGCGACAAACAAGTGCACATGTGAACTCATAAGGGCATTATATGAACCCATAGTTCATATGTGAACCAGTTAATTAGTTCATATGTGAATCAATTAATTTGTTCATATATGAATCACACGGGTTCATATGTGAATATACACGGGTTTACATATGAACATATAGTTCATATTGGAATCACATGGGTTCACATATTCACTTGTTTTGCCCCATATTGTAAAAGTTACAAACTACCTATCTATCTTATGCACACCATGCGAGGAATTATCCGGTCCTTCACAGTCAAAACTATAAATCTTGAACAGATGAAAGGCTATAAACACTTCTATACTTCTCAACTGAATCTATAGTTATATATATATAGGGGTAAGATCAAATGTTAACCAAARWTTTTDTGTTAACTTTGTTAACCGATCTTGGCCATTCAATCTTTCAATAAACGGTTGTGATTAATCATGATAAAAACTTATTTTTTTAAATTTAAAATTGCATAAAGATAAGTGAACAATGTT